GGGGGCGGTGGGCGTGCGGGGAGGCAGGTCCTGCTCCGGTGAGGGCTGCGGGCGTAAGCGGCAGCAGTGGCGCTGGGATGGGGACCTCGCTGGACTTCCTAGGACTGTCTCACCTCCTGCATAAAGGCTGTACTTGCTCGGGATCCCGGGGAGGAAACCCAGCTTTTCCATTTATTATTGTTGTTGTTGTCGTCATTGTTATTATTGATTAGAGAGAGAGAGAGAGCGAGAGCGAGAGCGAGAGACATCACTTTGTTCTACTTACGTACACATTCACTGGTTGCTTCTTGTATGTGCCCTGACCCTGGGATGGAACCCGAAACCTTGGCATATCAGGTAACCAACTGAGCTAGCCCACCAGGGCCTTCTGTTCATTTGTACAGAAGTTTAAAGCATCTTTCCTTCCCACTCTGCAAGCTCAATAGGCAAAGGAGAACGACTATGTGGCCCTTTCTTTGCTCCTAGGTGTTAAGAATGAAGGTGTGTGTGTGTGTGTGTGTGTGTGTGTGTGTGTGTGTGTGACTGGAGTAAACAGGTTTGGGGACATTTACCCAAACGGTTAGGCCTATGGGTATTGGCAAGTGTTTTAGCTTGTGGTCGTCTCTGTGACTTACCTCCGAAGTGGAAGGATCGGCAAATGACAGAGGGACAGAAGAATGGAGCGCGGCTGGTTGGTGAGAACACACGGGAGGCTTCTTCCACCACCTGCGGGTGGGTGTTCAGGAAGAAGAGCTTTTTGAGTTGCCAGCTGGCTCCAGAATGAGTTAGAAGGGATGGAAGTCTCCGTGGCTCAGTATAGTTTTACCACCGGTTTGGTTTTGTGTTTTTTTTTTAACCTGTCTCTTGAAGTCGTTTAAATGGGCGGGAAAATGGTGGAACTAAAGCCTTGAATTGTTATGACACTGGAAAGCTTTACAAAGAATCTACTTTTGTAAACCGCAAAAAGCTGGGTTGTGGCTGGAGTTCTTGGGGCTGGTTCAGGTGGAGAAAGTAGAGGAAACTTCAGATGGGATTGAATGGACCCAAGAAATGGAGTTAGCACTGAGTTGCGTAAGGAGCTGAGATAATCGCGGACTCTATTCTTATTTGGGTGACAGGGATCCATCTCCCAGATTATAGAGTTAAAGTTCACTTCCCTTTTCCGCTCCAAAGAACTGAACTTCATCTCCTTCTGAGGAGTGGCGTTATGAGGAGGAAGCTAATGGAGAATGGAAGTTACTACTTGACGTCTGGGTTTTTGTATTTGTTCCAGTGTGTTTTTAAGGAAAGTTACATTGGAAACTTTCTTAGTGCCCTTCTCATTTTAGATTCAAGCACACAGCTTCTTTGGGGTCCTAGGATTTGTTTAAAAGCCAGTTAACAGCTATTTGTTTCTAACTGGTATTAGCCCCAAAGGAAGGGAGAGGAACTTGCACATGGAGGTGGTGCAAACTCTTCCTTAGGCAACTCTTCTTGAGTCCGAGAGTGCTGACCGTTTAGTTACTCAATTATAGTCCTTCATTTGGCAAACCTTTCAACGCGTTTGAGCTCCACCGAGCTTGTGGGTGGCTATGATTTCCTTGGCATTGTCTTTCCTGTTGTTACTTTCGTGAAAAGACATTTCAGAATCTTTTAACTCTGCTCCTATGCTGGCAGTTTGCCAAACGCCTGAAAAGAAAAGAAAAGAGAAATATTTTTAAATCGGAGGAGATTAATTGTTCACAGTGAGTTGGCCTTTTTTGGTCACGGGCATTTGACTACCTACATCGAGAGTTTGCACATCAGTTGTTTTGGCATTGGCATCACCTACCTTTATGTTCAGGACCCCTTTGCAGTGGTGCCTGCATCCGATGAAAAAGCAGATTGCCAGCAAGAATACTGTTTAAGATGGTATTGCCATCATAAAACCTTCGGGTGGCTCGATGGTGTAGCCCAACTTTGTCACACACCATGCAGTGTTGTCTCAGTGCAGTGTCTGTGTGTGGAGAGACCTGGTATACTGGGAAGAATTGGAAAAGCTGTTTGCTCTGCACATTTTATGGTGTAAATGAGTTTCCCTTCTCCTGAAACATTTGCCTTGTGTTAGCAAAACATAAGATAGAAGGAAACTCATTACACACTCTCCTAATGGTAAGGCAGAACTAATAAGGGAATGTGTTTAAAATTAATTGTGGGAATGTAAAAACGAGTGGGTGCGAATGGGAATGGGGGGGGGGGGGGGGGGGCGTTTGGGGACAGGCTTTTATGGGGAGGGGGGGGGGGGGAGTGGGGGATCTTAGAGATAGACTTGTTTTCCCCGGAGCCAGCCGGGATCATTTGTTGGCAGTACGTATTGGCTGAAGTCAGTTTTCATTTCAAGGTAAATTGAAAAGGGAAATTAAACCTTATTGTTCCGCTCTTAAGAGAGGAGAAGGGGGCGCAGGTGGCAGCCAGGGGTGGATGCTGTTGGAGTGGTTCTAGGAGTAATAAGATTAGTGCTGTATTTTAACAGAAGGTGACACCATGGGCCCCTTTGGACTTGAGTAACCCTGTGCTGCAACCTTCATGGTCCCCTTGTCGGAGTGGGCGACGTCGCTGCACATGCAAACTGCCACAGTGGGGGAATCGGCAGCTTAGGCTTTAATGAATCTTTACAAAGGAGTGAAAACGTCCTGCGTCGCCCTGTGCAGCTGTGGGGTGTTTGGGCAGAGGTACGCGTCCAGCAAGGAGATAATTAGAACCATTGGCTTGGGTTCTGGAGAACAGATTAGATAAGGGAAGATCAGCACTGGGCAACCCATTCCGGTGCCCCCCTTGCTCTCCAGCGCTGCCTCGTCTCCGGGGAGGTGACTGTGGTTTAGCACTGCTGTGTGGTGGGGTTTGGCTGTCTCTGAGCAGCCAGGAGGGGGCGATGTTAGGCTCGCTCGCACAGCTGTGCCGTGTGCCCCCACAAGACACCGCCTTTTGCCTGCAGTCTTCAGGCAGAAAGGGTCTGCCATGGAATCGTGTTGCTTGAGGCGAACACTGCACAGGCCCAAACATGCTTTGGCTAGAGGTGGCCTACGTAAGGGTTTGGCCATGGTTTCAAAAGGGAGGCAAATCCCCCAGGGCTTGTCGCGGTCATAGAGGTAATGTGGTGAATTTTTTTTTTTTTGCTTCCTCTTAAGTTTTACATTAGAATGAGAAAAGGTGCCTGGTTTTCCCCAGGAGGGTCGATTAAAGTTTTTCAGGTTTTTCCCTGGTAGAGAGTGATAAGAATAGAAGCACACTAACCATGATTGTCCCCTTGTCATTTGCATCTCCTCAGATGTTTTCTTGCAATGGGCTTTTGATGTAGGATGCTGGAGAACCAAGAGCAGGAGGTAAGCGTGTGGTCTCCACAGAACAGGTGGGCAAACGTTGGAGGGGATTTGGGAAAAGGGGCAAATCATTGCTTCCTGGTACCTTTCTGACGGTAATACCTAGGTGGTTCTGATGAGCTCAGAATAAAACCAGGAGAGGGAAAGCAATACTAAAGCCATTTCTGGGAAATGAGGTTCCATTTTCACTGACTTTCCCATTTCTTAGACTGCACTAGAATGTAAGCTACACGAGGGCAAGAATTTTTGTCTCTTGTTCATGTTCTACCCTCAGTGTCTTAGAAAAGTGCCTGACACACAATCGGTCAATAAATATTTCTTGAATTCAATGAGTAAATGAACAAATGAATGAAAGTTGGTGCTGTCTGTTTGGAAAAAATCTGGCAACCTGAGTTGTCAAAGCTGCCGTGCTGTGTGGTTGAGCCGAAGCTGAAGGCTCATTCTTTGCCTCCAGGAGGTGATCACTGTGCGTGTCCAGGACCCCCGTGTGCAGAATGAGGGCTCCTGGAACTCCTACGTAGATTATAAGATCTTCCTCCACGTAAGTGCACCAAACTTCTGTATTGGGATCAACGTTCGCCAGGGCTGCCGGATAGTGCTGAGACAGACCCTGTTTGTGGGTGTTTTTGCCAGGCCCGAGACAGAAGGAAAGGGGGGAGGAGAGGACGAAGAGCTCAGGGATGCCTGAGAGTTGGCTGCAGGCTGCCTGGTGGCCTCTTGCTCTAGTTGGAGGCCCTGGTCAGGACGGTGGCCTGGTGGCTTAGATCCTCAGTGAGAGCGATGACGGGGAGTTATGTGATCCTGGTCTTTTCCCACTAAATCCTCGTCATGTACTTTCTCCTGTAGACCAACAGCAAGGCCTTCACTGCCAAGACATCCTGTGTGCGTCGCCGCTACCGTGAGTTCGTGTGGCTGCGGAAGCAGCTACAGAGAAACGCTGGTTTAGTGTGAGTCTGCTCTTGCTTCCCTCTTGGGTCTGAGACTGGCTTTTTAGGTGCTTACTTGGGGATTCCAGTTTACAGTGAGGAAAACGTGGCGACATGCCAGGCCAAGGAAACTGAGAAATCTGTTCTTAAATTATGTTTTCCAATTAGTGAAAAATGTAAAGAACAGAGTTCTTAGTTCTAGTTTTTTTGACCTAAGAGTGCCATAGAAATGTAAAAAATATTTTTCTTTTTTTGTATGTATTAGTCTAGGGCTAAACACATGTTCTGCTAGCATTTTAAATGTGCCTATCACTGGTTATCAGAAACTTTTTAGCATCTGGACTTACTTGACAGGTGGTGATCCTGTCCATTTGACTTGTAAAAATTGTGATATGTGTGTGTGTGTGTATGTGCAAAGATCTTTTCAACAGACTGAGAGCCTTAAGAAAGTATTGTTCACTCCTCCCCTATACCTCCCAAATAAATCTAAAAACTGGAGACAATTTAGAATAGTGATTCCACCACAGAATGGTCACTGAATGCTCTGGTGACGGATGGCCTGTTGATGACCTAGCCAGTTAATTAACATGTGGGACTGATGAGGCCATTGTCATGGGTCAGGCCTTCATAAGCCAGTTGGAAATCCCCCTGAAAAGTTGGGCATCTCTAGCCTTGCTGGTTTTTGTTGTTAATCCTCACCCAAGGATGTTTTTCTATTGATTTTTTTTTTAGAGAGAGTGGAAGGGAAGCAGAGAGGCAGAGAGAGAGACATCAGTGTGATAGAAACCCATGGGTTAGTTGCCTCCTTCCTGGCACGCATCTGACCGGGGCTGGGGATCTGAGCTAGGGATCGAGCCTGCAACCAAGGTATGTGCCCTTGACTGGAATTGAACCTGGGAACCTTTCGTCCATGGGCCGAAGCTCTATCCATTGAGCCAAACCGGTGAGGGCTGTTTTAAATATTTTAAAATCTTATTTTTTATTGATTTTTAGGAAGAGGAAAGGGGAGGGCAAGAGAAACATTGATGGGAGAGTGAAGCATAGATTGGCTGCTTCCTGCACGCCCCCTACTGGGGATTGAGCCTGCAACCCAGGCATGTGCCCTGACCTGGTTGAGCAACACAGGCTGGGCAGTAGCGTGGAGTTTTGAAGCTATAGATTTGGTTCAAATACCAGCTCCACTGCTTATTAACTGTGTGGCACCGGGAAATTTTCTCAGCTGCTCTGATTCTTTTCCTTGCTAGTAAAATGAGAACACTAATATCTTCCTCACAGAGTTTGGAGGGATTAGTGAAATAAGGTTTGTGAAACATTTAGCGTAGTGCTTGAAACATGGGATGCAGTGAGTCGTTGTTAGCTTCCCACCCTTGCCACCTTATTAAAAGCTATCTGTAGTGATTTGTGCCTCTTTTTAGGGGAAGTCCTTGATCAGGGCTGATATGACTGTCCTGCATGTTGCACTTACCTTGAGTGTTACATTATGCGACTCCACAGGCCTGTACCGGAACTTCCTGGGAAGTCAACCTTCTTTGGCAGCTCAGATGAGTTCATTGAGAAGCGACGACAAGGTCTGCAGCACTTCCTCGAAAAGTGAGTGAACATGGCTGGCTAGCGCTTGCCTTCTGAGGTAGGGGCAGGGACGGGGGAAGGTGACAGGCAGGGTGGCGCATTGAGCATACATTGGGGGGTAGACCCTTTCCTTGTACTCTTCGTGCTCACTCAAGCCAGAGTCTTCAGAAGATGAGGTTGGGGCCTGGCCGGCGTGGCTCAGTGGTTGAGCGTCGACTTATAAACCAGGAGGTCACGGTTCGATTCCCAGTCAGGGCACATGCCCAGGTTGCAGGCTTGATCCCAGGGTGGGGCGTGCAGGAGGCAGCCGATCAGTGATTCTCTGTCATCATTGTTGTCTCTATCTCTCTCTCCCTTTCCCTCTCCCTTCCTCTCTGAAATCACTAAAAAGACATTTACAAAAAAAAGGAGACGGTGGGGTTGGGGAGAACAGAGCTTGGGGTGATGCGCGTGCTGTCCTGCCTGTGTTTGCCCCAGGGTCCTGCAGAGTGTTGTCCTCCTGTCAGACAGCCAGTTACACCTCTTCCTGCAAAGCCAGCTCTCGGTGCCCGAGATAGAAGCCTGTGTCCGGGGCCAGAGCCGCACGACCGTGTCTGACGCCATTCTTCGCTACGCTATGTCAAACTGCGGCTGGGCCCAGGAAGAGAGGCAGGGCGCTTCTCACTTGGCTAAGGGAGACCAGCCTAAGAGGTAACTAAAGCTCTCTTTTCTGAGACGTGGGGAGCTAGGATTACTGTGACCTGGGTCAGTGAGGTGTCCATTTGATAGAGGAAGTGAAGTCAAAGCATTGGTAGTCTTTCAGAGGAGACCTTCTCCTGCTCCTGTGCGGTTCTCTTACTCCAGCCAAGGGATGGTGGTACCCATCCCTGGGTAGCAGGCTCTCTCCTAGAAACCTGGGGAGAAAGAAGAGAAGGCTTTCTTATGTCCTTTATCTCCCCCTGCCCTTAAAATTATTTATTGAGAAATAATTCACATTCCATAAATTTCACCATTTTAGTGTACAATTCAGTTATTTTTGTTCATTCACAAAGTTGTGCAACTATTAATCACCATAATTAATTTTAGAACATTTTCATCACCCCAATAGAAACCTTGTACCCATTAGCATGACTCCCCATTTTCCCCAACCCTTAGTTCCTGGCAACTACTCACCTACTTTCTGTGTCTCTGGATTGACCTATTCTGGACATTTCATACAAACGGATCCTTTTCTTTAGTATATTTTCAAGGTGCATCCATTTTGTAGTGTGTATCAGTACTTAATTCCTTTTTGTGGCTGACGAATAATCCATTCTTTTGTTTGTCTTCACTTGTGTTTATCCATTCATTCTGTTTATCTGTCCCTCTGTTCCCTTTCCCACTCTTCCAGTTGCTGCTTTTTCCCAAGATCGGGCAGGAGTAGTTCTCCCTCCACGCCTCCTGAGGAAGAAAAGGACCGTTTTGAGGTGTGGGCTCCTGTTGTTGACTCTGAGGCTCCTTCCTGGGAAAGCCCCCCTCTCCTTCCCGCTACCTCGCCATCATGCTGTGATTCTGCAAGACCTGATGAAGGACGCTGTGCTCCGCAGCCTGTGAGGAGGTCTTTGGGGGGGGACCATGCTCTACCTTTGGATCCTAGTCAGTTAGAAACAGTTTTAGAAAAGTGAGTTCCGGTCTGAGCCCTGGGTTCTGCCCTGAAGTGGACAGAGAAGATGCAGGCAAAGGGATGCAGGCACTTGGCTGGGATTGGATGGACCTAGGGCAGTTGGGGAGGTTGGGCTGCTTAGTGTTTTACAGTTGCCTCTGCTCAGGTTGGTTGCATAGAGGTTGGCCACGACAACTCCTTCAACTTCCTCCACAGGAATAAACAGTATGCAGATGTTTATAAATTAAGCATAAGATCCAGGGGCTGTTGGTTTTGAATAGAGTCCCATGTTTCCTCCCTTGGGAGCTGAGTTTCGGTAGATGTTTGTTAATGGGCCCCTGAGCACTGCCTCAGGTTACCGGTTTGGGGGACCTGTAAGTGGCCGAGTTTAAGCTGCCATACTGAATATTGTCCCGGCGGAAATGCTTGTGTAGATGTATTCCCACTGGCTCTGTTTGGCTGCAGCACTTTGATTCTGGGAGGCTGGCCGCTTGCCTACCTCCTTGCATGGACAGGGTGGTGGGTATTTATTCTCCCACCTCCTTGCTTTTCCTCCACTAACACCACTGAACGGAATGGTGCTGTGACCCCTGTCGCTAGGGTTTCCTGTATATTCCAAGACCTCACTCAGCCTGGCTGTGTGGGGCCTGAGTCCCACAAAATAGGTCACGGCCACCACAGAAGAGAAGTGGCTGTTCGCAGCTGAGGAAGGGCAAACAGCTCAGGGAGCTTTGTTTGGGAAAAGGCTGTCCCGGGCTGCCACTGTCTCTTCTGGTTATAAAGCAGAGATGTGAGCATCTTTTCTGCAGGATAGAATGAGCTCCTTTCTTTTTTTGAAACCCCTTTTCCCCCTTAGTAACAGCTCCCGCCTCCCGGGGCTTCCGCCACTACAGGGTCCCTCTGCTGTGTCGCAGGGCGGCCATAGGTGCAGTCCAGGGGGGGCCAGGGCTTTGTTTCTTTCCGGAGAGAGGGCTCTAGGGACGGAGATGAGGAACAGCGCGCCTCCCTTCAGACAATGAGGCATTCCGCCCTCCCGCTGCCATAATTCCTCTCTGAGAGCCGGAGCTGGCAGGGGATTGTGCCGCTGGCTTTCGGCATTGCTCTGGGTTTGTGTGTGGTTCCTCTCGCCCTCTCCTCCTTCCTGGCCATCCCTCTGCGCTCTCTTACCAGCCTGTGCTGTGGGACTGTCATGGCATTTAGTTCAGAGTTGAGGGGCTTTGGCCTGAAATAAAATTCAACTATTTAAGACTGTTGTTGCAATTTGTGTCTAACAAGCTGTAGCAGAGAAGGAGGGAATGAAGGCTGGCACTAGTTACTTTCATAAATCATGAATTTATCAGCGTGGAAATAATGGTTCAGAGCTGTGCACTGCAGCTCCTGCATTGTGAGTGCAGCTCCAGTTCACTCCTGGAGGGAGGACCGTCTTCCAGAGAGCCGGGATCCAGCTCTTCTCGCAGGTATGGGCATGAACCTTGTTAGGTATAATTTACCTGATGCTGCTTCCATCCTCGAAGCCTGTCTGAGGTGCCAGGTGCTGCAAGAGAAATAAAGTTTGTCAACAGGCAGATGCAAAGCCCTGGCTGGGACTCATCTCTCTTTCCTGCCCGCCTCCCCTGAGTCTCTCCGTTATATGATGCAGCAGAGCCAGGCGAGTAGAGAAAACCTACAGAGGCAAATCCAAAATGTCAAAAGAAGTTCATTTAAAAAGGGAAAAAAAAACTCCATACACAACCCTCACAAAAACCCGACAGATGCTAAGCTAATGGCATCCGTTCTGCCGATTGGTGGGGATGACTCATGAATATTAATGAGTCCAATGCTCCAAATGGTGCAGCTGTGAGCCCAGCTGTGCCTGAAGCTCTCTGATCTCCAAACTTCCAGACAGGAGCCGGAGGTGGTCTGTGTCAATTCCCTACTCAGCCAAAACACAGCAAGCTGGGCTGGCCTTCTTCTGTTCGCTCCTTTTCGTCTGGAGTTGGTGCTCAGCAGCCAGTTCTGCCAGCAGGATAGGCTGCTGGGACAGCAGGAGCCATTCAAAGACACGAATGCAATTTTTCTGACTCCTGGCTTTTTTAATGATCCATTAACAGCAGTGTATATAACAGCATCTCAGTTAATCTAAGGCCACGCACCATCCCCTCACTGTCTGGTGCAGAGTTGAGTGTAGGCCATGGAAGGAGACGTGCTAAGAACGGAAAAGTTTTCTAATAATACAGGCCTGCAGTTAGCAGAAAAACAGCAAACATGGATTTCCTCCTTCATCCGGGCAATGCCATGTGCCTTATCGTGGTGTCTTCTGTCCCTGTGTGTAGTCAGGGCTAGTTCCCACGGCAGGTGACCTCTGTGGCCTACTGAGCTGTTTTGTAGAAAGAAAGAATTTTTTTGTTAGAATTCAGGATTGAGGTAGGTTCTATGCCTGATGTAGTCACCATTCTTCCAACAGCTACTTCCATGGGCCGAGTCCAGTCATCAGTTACGCAGGATGAGTGATCCCAAGCTCGTGGGTTTGGTTTGGTTTGGTGGAAGGAAATGTGTGTAGGAGGGTGGAGGGGGACGGAGGTTCTCTTGTATGAAAATCCTAAGTTTCACATACATCATTTTTGACCTTGGTGCCCAGTGAGGAGGGAAGAGCAAGTATTGTACTCATTTTCTAGCTGAGGAAACGTTTGAGTTGAGCTGAGCATGGTTTTTAAAAATATGTTGTTAGCCCTAGCTGGTTTGGCTCAGTGGATAGAGTGTCAGCCTGTGGACTGAAGGGTCCCAGGTTTGATTCTGGCCAAGGGCACATGCCTGGGTTGTGGGCTCGATCCCCAGTAGAGGGTGTGCAGGAGGCAGCCAATCAATGATTATCTCTCATCATTGATGTTTCTATCTGTCCCTCTCCCTTCCTCTCTAACATCAATAAAATATATATATTTTTAAAAAAGCTTTCCCTTTTAGAAAAAATAAAAAGATATGTTTTTAAATGATGGTAGAATATATTCATGTGAGAGGTCTTTTCCAAGCTCTATAAGACAAGGTGTTTCCCCTTGATTTTTTTTTTTAATCTTAAACCACCATGACTAAGAGAAAAAAACCACCCTTCTCTTTTCAGTTGCTCTTAGAAATCAGAGCTCCTCCGCGGTTCTGTTTTCTGACTGCTAAGGCCTTCGATCCACACCAAGTCCTAGGCAACTCGTACCCTCTCTGGTAGCTTTGCCTGGGAGGTGATTGTGACTTTTTGACATGAAGTTTGTGAATTTGTTTATATGCCTTAGCTCTTGCTGAATATTCTTAACACCTACCGGTGAGGAGGACAGTGGGCCTGGAGGAAGCAAGGTGGGATTGGAGGTAGAAACGGAAACACCCGCTCCCGGCCTGCCTCTCGGAGGCAGCAGGAGCATTCAGTCGGCTGGAGTGGCGTCTGTGGGTTTGTGTGTGAGCAGCCAGCTGAGACTCGGCTAAAGCCAAGCAGATAATCACTGTCGTGTGAGATAGTGACTCCCTCAGTCGAGCTGGGGCAGTGATCCTAAGCCACCCCTTCCGGGTGGCCCTCTGCCCTCAGGGACCGGCTTTGTAGAGGACACGTTGCCCAGCTCAAGGTAATCCTTTGAACTGTAGATGAGTGTCCCTGTTCCTGTTCTAACCACTGTACCTTCCTTCCCGAGGGTTTCCTTAACCGATATGGAAGCCCCCACCCATCTTATCTCTCACCTACTCCCTGCCTCAGCTCTTCTAAGGAGCTGTTTCAGGAACTGCCGGGAAGCCCAAGTACGCACGCACACATCTGGCTTCCAGCAGGGCAGCAGGAGCCAGTCCTAACATCTTAGAGCAGCGGTTCTCAACCTTCCTTTCATACAGTTCCTCATGTGGTGGTGACCCCCAACCATAAAATTATTTTCGTTGCTACTTCATCACTGTAATGTTGCTACTGTTATGAATCGTAAAAATCTGATACGCAGAATGTGTTTTCATTGTTACAAATTGAACATAATTAAAGCATAGTGACTAATCACAAAACCAATATGTAATTATATATGTGTTTTCCGATGGTCTTAGGCGACTCCTGTGAAAGGGTCGTTCGACCCCCAAAGGGGTCGCGACCCACAGGTTGAGAACCACTGTCTTAGAGCAATAACTTGGGTAAAATCAGTTCCGCCTTAGTCATGGCTGGCTTTGGAACTGGAGTGCTGGATCTTCAAATCTCAAGATACAATAAATATGGACAATTTATACTCAGAAGAACAACAAGAGCCACACTTTTTAGGAGACAGTGCTCCTGACTCCATGAACAGAGTGAATAATTTTACTTCCTTTTCATTAAGGGAGACCCGGTTCACTTCCACACGCAGAGGAAAAACAAGGTGCTTGCATAGCAGGGAAAGGGAGGCCTGAACAGTCAGCAGGGAGAGATGGTAAAGCCAGAGTGAGAGTTAGGGGGTCACCTGAAAGTCTTTAAGGATTTCCCCCTGGAAGGGCAGGAACATGAGATGCTGCTGTAATCTTTGGGTTATGGGGAGCCACCAGCCACAATTACTATCTGTGGCCGTCGAGTCCCTCCTTCCTGTCCCTTCAGCCGGTCACTTTTTCTTCATACCATAGGTTTGGAATGGGGCAGTCTTTTTGAAAATTTTTTTTTTTGTTAATTCTCACCCGAGGATATTTTCCCATCGATTTTTAGAGAGAGTGGAAGGGAGGGAGAGAGACACACAGAGAGAGAAACATCGATGTGAGAGAGACATCAATTGGTTGCCTCCCACATGAGCCCTGACCAGGCTGGGGATCGAGCCTGCAACCGAGGTACATTGCTCTTGACTGGACTCGAACCCAGGACCCTTCAGTCCGTGGGCCAACACTCTTATCCACTGAGCCAAACCAGCTAGGGCAGGGGCAGTTAGTTTAGGTCCTTCCACGAGTGCTCTGGCCCTGTGTATGTCCCCGCCCTGGTGGCCATGTTGGCGTGGGAAGCCAGGCCTCCTGACATCCCCACCCGGTCCCTCGCAGAAGGCCCAGGAGAGTGAGAGCCCGGGGCGGTTTGTTGGAGACAGTGCAACCTGCCCGTACGAGACTTAGATATATTCTACCAATTAGGGCACATCTGTTCCAAATGCTGAAAGGCGAGCACTGTCTCTTTAAGAGCCATCCCACCCCTCTCCTTGAGTGATGAGGGCTGGGAGCACAAGGGAGTCAGATGCTGATTAAACAGTCCTACTGCTGAGCTCTGTTAGAAAATTACTGTAATTATGATCTAGTCCCAGCAGAGGGATGAGTTCCAATCCTGCTAATAACCCTTCCAGGTGCCTCAGATTCAGGGCCCGCGGGAGGCAGCTTCGACAGGGCTCTGGCTGGCAGCGGGGCCAGCGATGGCCTCCTGTCTGGCCTGTGCGGGCGCAGACAACAAAGGCACCGGACCCCCCATCTTATCTCGGCCTCCTGAGGAGGCAGTGGGTTTTGGTTGTGTTGTGGTTGTGCTTTTGGCTCTTGACAGCTCATGGGAGTCATTTTGTAGGAGAAAACTTTCCCCTAAACTAACACGAAGAGCCAGAATCACAAGGAGAGGGGGGAGGACTGTGGCGAGCGCGGCACCCGCCCACTCTGCCAGGCCGGGGAAGCAGAGCTGTCGCCCAGAGCTGCAGCCGTCTTCCGCGCTTGTTCCTATGAACCCGTCTTTCTCGCTCTGAAGGACCGTACACAGCATCTCATCTGGTCCTGACCAAGAGTTTCAGGGATTTCTGCCACTGGAAAGGAAACGGCCAGTACACAGAGCTGCTGAGAGAGTCGGTGTACTGCAGCTCTAAACCAGCATGTATGGGCGTATTCATTAGAAAACATCATTTTTGTAGTGCGAATCTGCAGGGGTCCAGGCCAGCGAGTCTCAGAGGTGTCTGTGGTGCATAGAAGCTCGCTGGTGGTTCTTAAACCCCGAGGAATTCATGGCCTGCGGCCTCTGTCTTCCCAGCCTAGCTGTAAGCTGCTGCCTATCACAAGCACAATCTTCTGAAAGGCAGGGCAGTTTCTCTGTGCTTGGTCCTCAGTACACCCAAATGCCCCGAGACCATGGTTCTCAACCAGGGGTGATTTGGTTTCCAGGGGACATTTTTGTTTGTCAGAACTGGGGGTGGGGTGGGGGGGGGGAGTACTACTTGTATCTAGTGTCTAGAGACCAGGGGTGCTACAGTGCCCCCAACACATAAAATTATCTGGCTCAAAATGTCAATTGTGCCAGGTCGAACCCTGCACTAACAGAGTGAAGCAATAAGCTCCAAGGTTTGCCCTCTCTGCCCCCCAAAACTTCCACAGCATTGCCTTGGAAATGTTTAAAAAAAATGATCGCCAAGCCCGGCCAGTGTAGCTCAGCACCAAGAGGCCACGGGTTCGAATCTGGTTGGGGCACATGCCTAGGTTGTGGGCTTGATCCACTGTCAGGGGCAGCCGGAGGCAGCCGATGGATGATGTTTCTTCTCATCGATGTTTCTATCTCTATTCCTCTCCCTTCCTCTCTCTCTCTAAAAAAAAAATCAATAAAATATATATTTTTAAAAAAGAAATGACTGCCAGGTATGGAACAGACTGTCAAATCTCAGAGGGAAGGATGGGTGG